CTCTGCAGTCAAGCCTCTGCAGACAGCTGAAGGGCAAGTTTCATCCACATTACTCTGAACTCAGCCCCCTGGCTGGCTAGCCCTCCCCTCCCCTCTCTCTATCTTGTCCTCTCTCTCTTTCCTTATCCTTTCCAGTTTCCATGTTTCTTCCCCACACCAGCCTTTTGCTTTTCTTTTTTCCTATACTGCCCCAAGTGAACTTTAGAGTATATACTATTTAAAATCAAAATCAAGGAAATTTTAATTTAATTGGAGTATCATTTAGCATAGAAATTAATTTCAAATAAATTGATACCTTTAGAATGTTTAATATTCAAATTCAGTTAATACTACCTGTACCCATTTGCACATGTCTTCCCATTTATGTTTATTGATGTACCTTATTACCTTGAATAATATTTGTGGAATGTTTCTATTTTGAATGAATTATTTCCCTTTAAATTTGGATATTGCAACATTACTGAAATAATGTTTTTATATTTTTTCTGTTTGGATAGGTGAGAATCTCTCTCTCCATATGTATATATATTAAAAAAAGTTGAACATTATCTACAGAAATAATAAGCAATTGAATTTCTTACATTTTACCAGGAAAAGTTTTATTTTATTAGACATAATTGCATGACCAAAGAGTACATTTTATTTTTAAATAGGCAAGGAAAGAAAAGTAGTAACCGAATATGATTAAGAGGAAAAAATTAACATATTTAATTTCCTGCCTAAAAGTTAGATTTGACTATAGAAATTTCTTGCAATAATTATTGAATCAAGTTTAAATGGAAAAATAATTGGATAGTAATCCTGAATGTGTTCAATTAGATTTCAAATGATTATCTATCTATCTATCTATCTATCTATCTATCTATCTATCTATCATCTATCTATCTATCTATCTATCTATCAATCTATCATCTATCTATCCATCCATCTATCTGATACTTTCAGATACTGAAAACTTCCCAAGTAGAGGAAGTAGAAATCATGTGTGAGATATTATCAAATATATCCAATTATATGAGTACACCTAAACCAATATGAGTGAAATCATACTCAAAATAAAAAAATAATTTGATAATAGAAAGTAAATAATAAATTTGTATTTTAGAAATACACGAAAAAGCTTAAGTACCTGCTGGGTTTTGTAAAAATCAAAGCATATCAGACCAATTTACTTCTTTTATGATAGTCCACAATGATAAGAAACTTTTGAAAAGCACAGTCTATCCTAATTTCAGCAAATGCTTTTGTTTTATTGCATATAATGTATTATCTAGAAGGTAAGAAAATATGGTGTGGTATACAGTTCCCAATGGCTGCTTATTAAACAGTTTCAGCTGGACACATATTAACAGGCATAGGGATGTCAAAGGAGTCTTCTGAAGTCAATACATTGATATAAAACCTGAATAAAAGATTTATTATGCCACTAATGCACCTACTTGCTGCTGTCTGGGGCTCAATAATTTTCAAATCAGTCTTGATATATTTGATGAAATGATTATAAAACATTAACACTGGTGGAGAAGACTATAAGATGTGAGTAATACTTTGCAACCAGCAACAGGGCATGGAAAGACTAAATTGGTGAAATTTAAAAAACATTCCTAGTTATTTTATGGGATGGACATTGAGTTGAGCTATGAATATTTGTTAAAAGAGAGGGGGAAGGAAGGGAGGGAGGGAGGGAGGGAGGGAGGAAGGAAAGAGGGAAGAAAGGAAGGAAGGAAAGAAGGAAGGAAGGAAGGAAGGAAGAAGAGAGGACAGGCAAACACGAAATTTAGTTTTTATGTATATGTCATGCAAGGTAGAAAACTGTCAGTGGTTCCACCCAGTTCTAACCATGTTGTTGACTAACATTATATCAACATTTCACAGGCTAAATCTGGCCCTCGTCCTAAGTTTAAACACCCATGATTTCTACATTTAGTTAAGTATTCAATCATTCACCTATATGCTCAATCCTGACTTTTACATTTTTAAATTATCAAAAATACAAATTTCACGACAGAAAAGATTATATGAGATTCACCTTTTGTGGCCATAATAAATTCTTACGACAACAGAAACTCAGCTAGCCTATTCTGATGTGTTCTCATTTGTGGCTACTTTAACATCTTGGAACCACAGTGTTGAGCAGATTTAGGCTAAAACCATACTATTGGTGAAGTCTAAAATGATTGCTGTTTGGTCCTTTGGGGGGAAAAACATCTCCTGACTCTTGACCTCTCTGATTGCAGCCACTTGCACAGTGCATTAAATTTACCTCCAGCATCTAGAAGTTTTCCTTGTTGTAATAGAAATGAACACCCCTAGGATCCGCAGATGAGTACAAACGGCACATCTTTTGCAGAGTCTTTGACATGGCTTTGGGTCCACAGAAGAACACACCAATGCTGCTGCTGCAGGGATGGTAAGAAAAGGAGAGCGTGTTACCTGGGCAAGGCCAGCAGGAAGCCATGACCAGCCCAGGCAATTAGGAAGCAGCATGGTGGCAAGGTTATTTATTTATTTTCTTGTCTGTACCAACTTTCCTTTTTCTTAACATCCTTTCTGTTTCCAGTACATTGCTCCCATCAAGATTTCCTGATTCCCAGAATCACAGGAGCCAGGGACTCAAGAGGCCAGAGGCCAGAGGGGGCTGTGATAATAGTACAGGGGTCTGTGATACCGTGGGTTTTGGTCAGGTGAGATTGATCAACATCTTGGATCTGTGGATAAAATGTACATTCCAGGATCAGGACTTTTGACCTGTGTCCTTACCCTAGGATCTGGCTTAAGTAGGCAAAGACTATACCTTTGCTGAAGGAATGAACAAATGGTCATGTTGATTATTGCTGGCCTGGTCTTGGGCAGGGCTGGAGGCCTTGTATATATAATCTAAAGATAACGATTACATTGTGTGTTTTAAAGAAAGCAAAATAAGACAGTGTATTCAAAAAGTTTTTAAAAGGGTTAGTTATGACTAACGTCTTGTTCAACCTTGCCATTTTTATAGATAATAAAATTTATATTAAAGCCATAACAACTTGATTTATTTATCTTACTAGAATTCAATTTGGACCTAATGAAGAGATTGGAAGGGACAAAGCGTTGCTGAAGATGCAGATTGCCAGACATTGTCATCTCTGACCCTTGCACTTCAGAAAATAGTGGAGAGGACATAGCTTTGCATCACATCACAAGAGTGCTCCTATCCCTTGGGACTCTGGTCCTGTACCCACAGGGCACTGGTTCAGGGGTTCACATTGTCTCCTGAAGTCAGGACACACCGACCTCTATTGGAAAGTACAAAGGCCACAGCTCTCCTCCCTTGTATTCAATAGTATTGTGCCCGGTGGCATCTTCTCTTCCTAGTCTCCAGTATATGCTGAAGTAGTTGCTCAAGTCCAGATCAGAAGTACCTGTATTACTGTGTATAAAATTGTTAGGCAGACTGTTAAATTGCAGATTCTTTGGCTGGGATCCATGAAGAGTGTGTTTGGTGTGAAGCCAGGTAATATTGAGGCAGATGGCCCTGTAAGCCGTACTGCCTCAGAGAAATTCTTCAGATCCAGGGCCAGCCCACCCTACTGCCTCTGTTCCTTCCACCTGGCTTTTGTTAGTGTTTGCATAGCCCTTCCCTGCTTCGATTATACAGTGGCATGATTCTCTACCATATATCAGAGCCCTGTTTTAACAACATGCTCCAGGACCATGACGCCCATGGTACAAGGTGATAGTTTAATCACATTTCAAGCTAGCTTCAAAGGAATTCACCAAATGGTTTCATTTACAAATAAGAATATTTCCAAAATGTCTAAGTGCTACTTTCATAAATATCCTTCCTATGACTTAATTTATGAAATTTTTTTCAAAAGATGTTTTGTACTAAATAATTTGACTTGAGGCAATTTTCAGCTGTTTGTGGAACTAGAAGGTGAATGGTTTAAGGAGGCTGATGATGTGGGATGTCTTTCTGTATTCTGTGAATATGTGTTACTCCCATTGGCTAATAAATAAAGCTGCATTGGCCTACGGCAGGGCAGGATGGAGCCAGGCGGGGAAATCCAAGAGAGAAAGTAAAATGAGAAAGGAGAGTGGGGAGAGATGCCAAACTGCCGTCCAAGGATCAACATGTAATGGGACACAGGTAAAGCCATGGAGCACATGAAAAAACATAGATTAATAGAAATGGGTTAAGTTACAAGAGCTATCCAGCAAGAAGCCTGACTCATAGGCCATACAGTTTGTAAGTAATATAAGCCTCTGTGTGTTTACTTAGGACCAAGTGGCTGTGGTACTTGAGTGGGAGAGATTTGTCCTGACTGCCGGCCAGGTAGAACCGGAGAAACTTCAGGCTACAGGTTGATGTCTCCATCATTTGGCTTCTGTAAGCATTGGGCACATTACTTATTCCCCCAAAGCCCTATTACTTCATGTATATAGTCAGGAGCATTCGAGACCTTTCCTCTCAGGATCTCCTCTGCACTCCCAGCTTCTCTCTGCGGATGAAAGGAGGCATAGCAAGCCTGCCTGGGCCCTGTTCTTGGTCCGTGGTGGTCTCTGTAGCTGTTGGTTCTCGGATATCAGTATCACACGTGTCTGTAGGGCTTCTCCTGCTCCACAGAGTTGAACAGAAGATGGGAAGTGGGATGTGAATGAAGGGGATTGGTCTTTTGAGCTCTGGACAGAAACATCTGAGTGAAAAAGGTCAGGCAAGGCCCTTCCTGATGAGGAGTCATAGCTTTGCTCTTGGCATGATGTGCAGAGGTATCCTTGCATTCATTTTCAAAGGTGCTGTTATGGGTGGTGATATTTTTCCCATTAGTGTGAATGTCACCAAAGAGGTTGCCACTGGCCTGTTCCCAACGGGTTGTGATTGCCCTTTCATTCGTAGCCACATTCACTGTTTGAGAAGCTGGTGGTGTGCTTTGAAAACCTGCCTTTAAGACCCCATTTCAAAGCATCCTGATTGAGGGCTGCCAGGTGTACCACTGGTATTTCCAGTGCCTCACAGCTCGCCTGCCTCTTTGAAGCTGTGGCTATTGCACAGCACAACTAAGTGCAAACGTTTCTGTCCTCAGGGTCCATAGCTGTCATGGTTATGCAGTCACCAGAAAGTCTCAGAAAGGCCATTCATTATCCACCCTTGACTGTGACCTAGAGGTCAGCCCTCCACAGTCTCTCCTCACATTGCTATCCCCAAGTAAGGCACAGTCCTCACCTTGATTTTTACCAACCTTGGCATTTATGACACCAAGTCTGGGGTTTCCTGGTCATGAATGCATCCCATAAAGCATGGAGCTGAGAGAATCTGCACAGAACGGTGAAGGCACAGATGTGGTAGTTCCCCCTCCCCCCCCTTTTTATGAGGCAATGGACAAGTACAGCAGAGCCTTAATGGGATTGCTAAAGAAAAAAAATTCTTCCATAAAAATTTAATTATCCACAATTGCTTAGAGTTAAAAAAGAAGATTCTGTGCAAAAGAAATATAAAAACACTAGACACCGTTTATCCTCCGGTTTACAGCCTGCAAGCCGCAGAGCTTGCACACGCGTGTGGGGCTGGATCAAGGGGAACATTAATGCCATTGGCCAGTCTGAGGGGCTGGCTGACTTTGATGAGAAAAGGACAGATTTCACAGAGGCTGAAAAAAGAATGGTTAACATTCAAGTAATTATTCTGAGCTCTGATAAACAGCAAAGAAGGTTCTTTCCCGGCTACCTACCCCTTGTACTTGTTAAATAACCACTATGCTTTTCTCTGTGGGATTTATGTGGGTTTTTTCCCTCTCAACACAGTTGAGCAACGCCATGCATGAAAGGCATCCAAAATATCACCCACCAGGAGATTTCAGCCTAGCAGATAGATAGGAATGTGGGTGTGTTCCTGGGAGGAATCCCACCACCTCCCCAGATTTGCGCATTCTGCTGGCACGAGCCCCTTTCTCTTTAAATTGTATGTTTGTTTTTTATGTGTTGGCTTTTATGCTTGGTAAGTTATAACCCTGTTGGGGCAGACCCTAAACCCTGTTTTAAAAAAAAATCAAATTACTTTATACCCTGAGTGTGTTCTGCAAATAAAATCGATAAACAGAAGCTTCCTCCGGATTTATGGAGGCTTAGGACGCAGGCACCGAGAGCTACAAACTGTTTCAGACAGTGGACACACAAGTTCTGGTTAATCTTTCTCAGTGAATGTTTTTCATTAGAAATGCCTCCAAATGATTTATCACATAATTACGCTTTATACAACACCATCTTTTTCATAACTACAGATGATAGTCCTGCTGGCCAGCTCTTTCCCTTTGTAACCCATGTCTCAGTCAATGCCCAGCAGCAACTGCACTGATTCTCTCCGAGTGTACAGTGGTCAATCTTGACTGTCGACTTGATTTAGAATCACCTTGGAGATACACCCTAAAGGGAGGTCTGAGGGTGTTTTCAGAGAAAGTTAACCGAGGAGGAGGGAAGACTCCCTGAAGGGGCTGGGCTTTCACTCTGAACACAAAGGAGGAAGCTAGCCGAGCAGAGACAACCATCTTCTGCTTCCTGACCATGGGTGCAATGTGAGCAACTACCACCTGCTTCTGCCGCCATGATGAACCGCTTCTGCCGCCATGATGAACTGCATCCGCAAACTACCAACCCCAATAAACCCTCTTTCTCCGAGTCGCTTCCTGCCAGGTATTTATTTGGTCCTGGCAATAAGAAAAGTGACTGGCCGGGCGGTGGTGGCG